TTCGTATGCGCTTCGATAATTAAGATGCAATAGTTAATTGTCTTAAAAAAGCAGGCGAATTTCAGCTTTTATAGAACAACGCTTAAATGTGAACACATAAATATATGAGACTGCCAGAACTTTTCTAATTCACAGGAATGGAATCCATGTTATTCGTAATTTAGCTAGTGATTTACAATTAGCATTAAATTATTTTAGTGAAATCACATTAATTTTCTTATTCCGAAAGTCATTACTGTTGTTATTATTATTAGATGGGTAATATATATATCATGTGAAAGACTGAAATAAAATATAACTAACTTCATTATTTTCATCGAGACTATATTAAAAGATGAATTTATTTCGTGAGAAACAAAGTGTCATCTGCATGTTAGAGATTAGTTCTTCCTTCTTTATTCTTTGTTTCATCTTACAAAAAATTACAAGTGATAAAACTTCTTCGTTTGGCTGTTTGAATGGTTTGCATAAAACCTACTATCTCTTAGTCTTATGCCTGAGAAGTTGTCATTTGTATTTGTGCAGAGAAATCGACAATAGTGAAGTGTATCTCACTGGTGTATTCCAAAACACAATATTCCTGAAATTATCTACTTTCTATCTATTATTTCCTGTACTAGACTATTCATTTATATTTCCTCCGGTTTCACACGAATATAATCGAATTAAATTAAATTTCAACTGTTTGAATGTAGAATAGAACAAATGTTTGTAAAAACAACTGATTCATAAGGTAGGATTTATTTAAACATATGTTTTTTATCACTATTTATGACTGTTATTATTGGGTAGTCAGATAAAAGTGATAAGTCTATAGACTATATTTTACCCACCTAATTTTCATATTGTCCCTCATTAACTGCTACACAGACTATGCTTGCCAATCATGCACTTGGTCTTTTAGCGAAAAACAAGATGAAAACTAAGTCTAATTTAAATGTTCCATACAGTTTTTGTAGAACAGATAAAAGTAAGCATTTTAATAGTTGTATAAAGGTAAATAAACTAATATTTATTTCGTGAATCGTGATTAGCAGTGGGATTCAGGATCCGTAGTTCATCTTATTTGAGACTGGTCATCTGTATGTACCTGAAGTTTCCAGTGAATGATGGATGGTGTTTCCATTGGGACTCGAACCCAGAACCCATAGTTTCTAACGCCAGAACGTTATCGCCAGGCCACTGTATTCACTCAACCATCCTTTGATGGAGCGGGAATCACTTATTATGCGCTTTTGTGGATTTCTTGTTTCTCTATGACAATGCATTATTAACTAAAATACTTTGCACTGCATGGTTCCTTTACGTTTAATTTCTCATTTGAAATAGGTAGCTTACTTCAGGTGAGTCTGAGTGTAAGTATTTTTCAGTAATGTGAATACAATTGACAAAATCTTATTTAACACGTTTACCTCTATTAGGCTGATAAACTGTTAGGATTTCAAATAAACTAAATAACTTTAAAAAAATTGACTGGTAAATTAGATTATAACATTATTCATTATTTATTACGCTGACAAAGTAATCAACAGAATATATGGTGGTATGCAGGGCCACAATGAATTGGATTTTGATGATAAGACTATCTAGGGTAACATAAAGTTGGCAGACTATCACAGATGTAAGAAGTTATTATCGAAGGACAAGACAATATTTCTGGCCCCCTCTAACCAGCTATATTAAGAAGTTAAGACAGTCTAGAATCACCCAACCTCTATTTTTATAGTTTGCTAACTCTTGCATCATACCTACTGTTCTTTACCGTCTCCCATCATTCTTTCCTGGGCTTATCAAAAAAGACTATGTCATATTGCAGAGGGTATTGAAGGTTGTTAGTAGGGTAAGCTGTGTGCAGTTAAGTTAACTCGATACTACTGTGGCAGATAGACACTCAAACTCGTATGAGAAATGGTCCAAATCCATAATGTCTGACAAGCAATAACTCTTATGTTCTCAACTCTCCCCTTTCATCTCATCAGGTAAGATTTGAAGCCAGTATAAAAGATTATATGCTCGCACAACCAATTACAAAAACTCAATGATACCCTGTTTGGCCCGTGTTCTATGTGAACGAGATAGTGTTAAGCGTGAAACCTAAAACTTACTATGTTATAAGCAAAATAATCGACTCTTCCACCTTCTATTCGCAATTTTTGATAATGCTTCAATTAACTTATAATTTTACGTATTAACATTAGTGTCATTATTTTTTATACCTTTTGTACATTTTTGACTTTATCGTCACTGCTAATACCGAAACAGCTGCTGTCGCCAATCCTGTAATATTATTTTTGTTTTTGCTGTTGTCGAGTAAATTAGATACAATATTGTACAAATGCTGAGAATTCCATACTGTATCATAAGTATTGTTGGGGAATAAAGCGAATGGTTATTTTTTATTTATTCATTTACGTTCCCAGTGGAACAAAGGGATTTCAGCTAGAGGCTTGAATTTTCGATAGCAGTGGTGTTTACTTTTACAGGATGGAGTTGCTAGCCTCCTGCCCAGCCTTCTCTCTTTACCAGTCTTATTACTGGCTTAGGGAGGTAAAGTAGTGCCTCGGACGGGGATCGAATTCCGGAACGCATGCACGGTTGGCGAGCATTCTACCGCTGTGCCACCAACGCAAACGCAAATTGTTATAATTGTTATTAAACCAGAGATATTTGAATTACCATCCCTTTGTTCAACCCGATGAACTATGAAAACCAACTGATACGCAGTTCATTATTTCACGGGTTAAGCTGAAATGTTATGTGAATGGAATATCGGTAACTGATTGCTTATCATAATACTAATTTCACTGCTAGGTCTTTTATTTTTCGAAACAAATTAGTTTGTGATTAATGATCATTACTAATACTTGATCGAGACAAAAACAGTTATTTTAAAAACGATGCATTTTGAGAATTGTAGGTTGCTCCAAAAATGAGCTGGAAAGCATACGGATAACAATAGGAGATAATCTTAACAATATCTTCAGTGGATTCCAATTGTATTGTACAAGCGGAAACTGTTTATTGCCAGTTTTCCTACTAAATATTAAGAGAAAATGAATCATAGGTGAATAATGCATTTTTAAAGACATTTTATAAACAATCTGTCTTAATCTGACTCCACTGCTCATTTGGTTGTGATTCACTTTTTTATTCATGAGCCGTGTTAAAAAGATATAGTTTATGAGGTTGTTAATATGTCATATACAACTGCCTGACTGGTAAAGTAGCAACTTTGAGTGTCATATTTGCCTAGTGTTGTTTCCCTACTGTAGAGTGTGTCCGATGTTTAAATGTTGTGAAATTACTTTGTATATAACAAATCTTTATGTTTTGTTCCGCTTCTCATGCTAAGTGAAGCAATATGCTAAGTAATTACAAGACTGAGCATAGAGTGTTGGACAAGCAGAGGAGGTAGCTAGATAAGTTTGGCAGTCTTTATCACCTGAGATTGCTAAGGCCCCTATTACAAATTCCGAACGACTCCTTTTCTTTGACGAGCATAGAATAGGAGTAGTTTGAAAAAGCTAAAGGTTACACTAAATGATGAAATCATTCGATTTTGGTCTAAGAAGCGCATAGATGTATAGATCGCATGAGTGGATTCTCTGAAAACCTAATAACTAATGGTTGGGTACTCGGAAGATTTCATAATGACCCACCTTCAAGACCCCGAAAATCTTCGTTTATCCAGTCCATCACACGTCTATTCATCTACTATAGCGTAATTTCTTTTTGCTGTTAGCTTATTCTCTACGCTCTTCATATCGTAATTTATTAAATACTGTACAAATTACTTAGGCACTGAATCGTCTATGAAATATTTGTTCTCCTGTGTTCAACACTACTCGAGTTATTTACATCAGATTTTATAAGCAATGAAATTCAAAAGTTTGACTTCTTGTCTGAAGTGGTTCTTCACATTGCATTAGGATACAAGATAAATATAATGTACATAGTGGTTTTGCACTAAAATAACACAGGAGTAAGATATGGTTAAAACATTTGTACACTGACCATTTATTTTGAGACTTCTCTTACAGTTTTCTACAGACGTTATTTAATTGGTTTTTGTGACTGTTCAGTAACTTATCCTTTTGAACTTATCAGTATGTTTTGCGTGCTTTCTAGGCGTAGTCGATCTTATTATATCCGGAACTAAATTTGACATTTTACTTTTAAAAACAGATGCGAATGTAACAGAAAAGAGAATACATTCTGACTCTTTTAGGATAGCTCAAATTTTGCATCAAAACAGGAAGAAACAGTTTCGCTGAATACTGTTCTTACTATAATTTCATTATATCTTATTCTGAAAAAATAATGACGATTGTTATATGGATATATGTGGTGGTTTTTGTAGCATAATAAAGTAGTTTCCATAAGCTGTAGTGTTCATCTTTTAATCTAAATCTGTTTGAGAGAAGAAATACAACAGCTTACGACACATTATAGACTACTGTGAACATTTTAATCACAAAGTACGAATTTATTGAAACTGACTTAAAAGCTGACGCATTAGTGTGTTTCTCTCTTTCGCAAGTGCTGCTATGCACAAATTTTATTTGTTTCAAGTCTGTTCACAAACTGACTTTTATTGGAGAATCACTAAAAACCGGGGAGTATTGAACAAATGCTTCTTTCTTGTTCGGGACTCTTCTGTAGTACTCAGTCGTCACCACACTGGGGGTTATTTAAGCTGAGTTCCATGTAAGCTTTTTGATACATAACCACGTTTTACGGATATGCTTTAGTGTTGGTCACGGTTACTGAACATTTTTGCTTTCTACCTTCAGCCGGTAAATAATGTGTAATTTCCATCAATATTTGATAAAAGATATTTCATGTTATGTGATACTAAATTCTGATACGAATAAATAATTTCTGTTTCATGTTTGTTCATTAGATATTGACATTTTTCTATACTGCTTAAAAAGCTTCATCAAACAGACCTTATCTAATTTTTACATAAATTTTCGTATGTTTTGTTTTTCACCTTGTAGATTTATTCAAACTCAAACATTTTGGAGTTACACTGTGTACAGATGTGAATGTGGACAGTTACTTCGATCCCTCGATCTCGGATCACCAGACATCAGTTTACTGCCCATACAGAACTGTTTTGCATATTTTAGACGCGATTTATAGCCCAGTGCAGAATGAAAATTCCTTTTGTTCAAAGTACTCCGATTCGAAATATTCAGACCTTACTTTAATTAAGCAAAATCATTTGTCTGAATGTTCACCTAGATCCATTGGTCAGGTGAGTAAAAGTGATTTTTGTGTGAATATGTTTAAATAGCTTTTGGTCACCGCTTAGGTTGAATGAGCATTGAAGTAGGCTCATGTAATAGGCTGTGTCAGAGAATTTAAGTTGATCCTTTTCGGAATTTAAATAATTCCAAAGACAAATGTGTTAGGAAATGATCGAGGTGACAGTTTCCGAAATATTCTGAATTTAGAATGTGACTATCGTTCAGTTACCTGCTAAGGATGAGGCAAGACTGAGTATAAATGCCGCTATTAAACATTAATTTACAACAGCTATATCTAAATTAGAGTGGATTTCAATCTTTCCATCCAGGCATATACTCCTCCCAAATCTGCACTCAAACTAAATGAAGTTATTGATGAATTGGGATTGTTATTCAGATTAAAATATACACCCAGGTATATAATAATCTGCCTGAAATCAAATTTTATCCACTGATATTCATAAAGATTGAATTAACAACAGCATTTGAACATATTAATTTTTGTGTAAACATAAAAATGTAGGAAAATTAACTACAAACAAGCAACAACAATTTACCAACTACACTGTAAAGTTTTAATAAATGCCACTTATCAATCTCACTGTTATGTACCTTATTATATTACAGTGGTGCAAGTACAACTTTGAGATGAAGTGTGACCACTTCTGAGTAATTAAAGGGTGGAGGCAGAAATGTGTATACTAAAAGGAACAAGTGAATATATGACATTAACTAGTAAACTTTGTTGTATGTGTGAGTATGGCACTGATTGCTGTTCTCTCTCTCCATCATAAATTAACTGTCAATAAATGTTTGTTATCAGATTTCACTTTTTTCTGGAAGTGAATTAATCTAACTGTTTATTTTTTCACGGTTAGATGTCAGTTAAAGATTCAATAAAACTTCATTTTAGCTTGAAGCAAACTCTTCATTGCATGACTTCATCGGTCAGCAGTCATTTCATATTACCCTCTTAAACTATGTGAACAAATCGATGAGAATATTCTCCTATTCTTTTTTTCAGATAGTCAAACGAATTTGTGATGGTAAGAATAAATGTGACATAATTAACCAATTGAAGAAAGATAATATAACTGTATGTTTATATCCATCAATTCTACAAGTGAATTACACATGCCTTCCAGGTAAAGAATAATCTTTTCATGTAGTAAATAACATAAATTGCATTCTTTAATCAGTGGATGGTGGCTAGCAGTGGAAGCCAGGATGCGCATTTCGTCCTATCTGGGACTTGTCATCTGGATTACCTGCATTTCCCTGTGAGTGATGATGTTCCCACCGAGGCTCGAGCCCAGTGCCCATAGTTTCAAACGCCACAGCGTTATCCACTCACTGAGAAATGCAGGTACATCCAGGTGATGAGTCCCAAATAGGACGAAATGCGCATCCTGGATTCCCCTGTTAGTTATCATCCACCAATTAAATACTAATTAAATGCCCAGACATCGTCGAAGCAACGGCTCAAGAAGCCGACATGTCAACCTGAGACCGAGCACTTCGGTCCAATCAATCGACGGGAAAATCTAAAATTCAATTAAAGAAATTGCATTCCTTGTTTAGTTATGAACTGATATTTAATGAAGAGAAAGTAGGATAAAAGCTTATTTTTAATAAATCTACTGAAGTTGATTGTAATAAAACAAGGTGCTTTAACTTGCTGATTAGGCTCTATCATGATTTAGTTTTTAACTACAACTAAATAGTGGAAAAGTTAAGCTTTTTCAGGTAAAAAGCAAAAATATTTAACAAGCTGCTGAAGAAATGTAAAGTCGCAAAAAGCGCAAAGTTTCATAACACTAATTCTACACGAAAATTCCAATACGTCAAACAAAACTCAGTATAAATATCAACTATCATGCGGTATTCATTGTATTTTATATTAGAAAGTACATTTATTTCATTAGCTATTGATATACAAAGTTATAAGGCATTTTTGGTAGCCACTTTCAATTATTATAAAACCCTCATGCCAAGGTTGTACAATGAAGCTGTGGATTACTGTATAAATAGTTTTGATAGCTATTAAATAGGACATTATATAACTCTATATACCTCTCATATAGTTTGACTAACTACAATCATGATTTTTGATTATCGTGAAAAAATTATTTATATAGAAAAGGAAAGGATCAATTGATTTAAAAACGATGCATATCTTTAAGTGAGCTAGTCATGTTTTTAGCTCAGTTAGTGAGCTCAAACATTTAGCTTCTAGGTTTAAAGTAGGCAGTTGTTATGAAGGGTGAATTTATCAAAATTTTGTCAATTAATGGCTCAAAGTTTGGTGGTCTGAATACAAAATGAAACAGGAAATATAATTTATAGAATAGTATCAACCGCTGATGTCTCGTCTCTGTTTCACAACTCCTTGAAAGCTCCAAAGTAGTCATATTTTGCATATAAATATGCTGAGAGCTGTCTGCAAGCCAAAATTGTAGACAACATTTTACGTCAATGTCTACGTCCCAAATCCGGGTCATGAGAAAAAGCAATAACAAAGCTTAACCTTGAGGAACTCACCAACCAATGACAGCAGACTTAACGTGTACAAAGACGATTTGCGGATATATGGCTTAACTATCTAGGAACAGTTACAAGCAGTGCAGAATAAACTTCAGCAAGAAAACAACTAATCAGAAGACCTTACTTCTCTGGTAAGAACAACGCTAATAATAATGTACATAAAAATCTATAAATATCTCTTGATTTTCTCAACAAAACGATCTTTGCGTGGCCCTTGTCTTCTGATGTTACACAAAGAAAATAATCTGCGTGTCTGAACAGCTAGTTGGTGATCAATATAACTATGATACATTCAGATCTACCATGATTTGTTTTCATTATGTGTTGCAATGAGTAGCTTGAGTAAACACTGTATCACAGTGATTAATCTGAATTATGCTAAGGTAATTTCCCGTTCACCCCTTGCTCTTTCTTTCATTGTATTCATCAATGTCTTCCTACCAAAACATAGACATGAAATACATGTTTGATTTTCTGAATCCTCAGTAGCAGACAGTTATATTTTCCTTATGGTTTTTCAGGTTATCTGAAGAAAGCCACTTTTTTCTCAAATTTTACACTGAAATCATTTTGTATCAGCTTTCCAGACCTAGGAAACAAGGTTCAGATTAGTCCCATATTTTGACTGTATAAGGAAAAGCCTGTGAGATACAGATAGCTACCATTGAAAACCTCTGTTCATTAGACAAAACAATGATTTTATTTGCCATTTCTTAAAGGTACATCTGAAACTAGGAAGGTAAAATTATTATTAGCTTTAAATCTCCTGGTCAGCGTGGCGTATTTTTGAGCTTAGAAATGTTTCTGAACAAAATGTTAGTCGGCTCATGTCATTCAACAAGCATAAGTACTATCAGAATAACTGTTGTACTTCGAGATTTGAAAAATAACGGAAGCGAATACTACTGCTTTTTAAACTCCCAATAAAATACGCACCAAAAGACATTGTTATTATTACAGTTGTTCGACAGTATAATCAGTTCATTAGACTGAACAAAAATAACTTCCATATTTCTACTTAAGTATGTGCATTTCATCTAGAGGCTGACATAAAATACCTATCCCTATCTACAATGTTATAATGGTAAACAACGCTGATGTTAAAAATTTAAATGTCTTTCATACAAGTTTCATCCATTTTCAATGCGAATGCAAGTGTGGTCTCAGAAAGTGAGATTATGGGGATATGACCGAAACCAATGCATCGTTCAGGTTACATTTACCAGCTTTATTCTTACTGATTTAGGAATCAGACAGTCAGCCTATGACAAAGTAAAATGGTAACGGGTGAAACCAAACTAAGAGCCACTGTATATTTTTCAGGGTTTTTAAAAAGGAAACATCAACCTAGATTTTGTAGACTTGACCACAGATAAGTTTCTTGTTCAACGACTCTTCATTTTGCTTCATTAATTTTGCCTTCATTAAAGAAGGAACACGTTGTTTGAATATTCCAACACACATCTGGAAATTCTCCATGATATTTCTTAAACAAAGTTTCCTTGATACAGTTATTTTTTTTATATAGGCAAGGGACATGAAACGGATTGTTGTTCACCAGAGCAAACTGCCCGCGTTTCTGAGGATTTACTCGACAAAATAACAAAACTGCCAAGATCAGAGTATGTGACCTGCTTGATAGCATAAACATAATCAAGAAAGCATGCATATTTGCATAAAACTCCACAATGCTGTTTGAATGAAATAAGTCGTTGAATACCACTCATATCAATCAGAAGTGCTTGATAGCCGGATCCAGAGGAGCTAAACATCGGACGGTGGTTTTACCCCTTTGGAGCCGAGATGCAGCAGTTTACCAAGTATAACTCAGCTGAAACAGCTAACAAGATTTGGCTAGCAAGCATTACTGGTTGATGTGAGTGGTGCACTACTACTCATCTCAATCAAACAGTAGTATACAGTTTCACCCCTACCAAAGTAGTCACAGTCTATCTGAACAAAGAAATAAACTGTGCTAAGCAATTTATCATAAACTGTCCTCTCACATTCCATATTAGATAAGTTTACTTTAAATATCACACAATGATTATTCAGGGCAATTTTTTGCTCATAATCATATCAGTTTAGTCGTATGATTTCACAATTCACCTTGAATTTATATTTCCTCTCTATCTCTCCAATTTTCCTTTGTTGTTTGTTGCCCCATTTCAATATCTCCAGTATGAGTGTTGCGTCACTCTGATTGAACGTGTGCGGTGTTAAATCGATAAACAAAACCTCAGTGATTACCCTCTCTGTTTCCCCATCCAGCTACATTGTTGTTTAATACTCTCACTCTGTCCCACCCTATTTCATGATCACATGCAAGTGAATGCACTGCAATGGCTGAGCATTTTTCCATGTTATTTTACTAAGCAGCGCCAATTATTTTAGGTCTAGCTAAATTTCTATGTTCCAATAATCTAGTTGACCACGGCCTACTAGTTTCATCTATGTGATTTACCTCACCCACAGTCATTACACGGTATTTAATACATTACATAACATTTTCCTTAATTGGATCTATTGCGTCCTTAAACCGACAAAACGTATTTCTGAGAGAGTTGGTTGTTTAGTTCAAATGCCACCTTAAGGCTTCTGACGTTTCTTCTTTATATGACAGCACTACGGATGCTTTGAATTTTGCATTATTTTCATCATTTTTATAACTAATCTTAGTTTTTGTATGGTTCTCATATGTTTTTGAATATATTCTATTGGGTACTTATTCAATAGCAATACTTTTGCATTTGTTTATTGTCATTATTTATATCTTCTGGCTTACTATTTAGTCTCTTGGCCCTTCCACATTCAAACAAAAAATATTTCAATCCACTTTGAAATTGAACAATATGCAGCTTTTGGCTGCCTTTGACGACAAGCCATAAACTAACTGGCAATCATTTTTCGTTCCTATTTGTTCTTCACTTTAATAATTAAAGCCATTTAAAATAAATATAAATTTATGAAAAATTCCATTATCCTTAATTATGAATGTAAGTTTGGTGGTGATATAACATCGCAACAATTAACATCATAAGAAAACAACTTTCTTAATAGAATTAAATCCTTAAGTATTTGTAGAGATTTCTTCTAACAGCCAAGTTTACTTATTTCTTCATTGTGCTACAATATATCGATGTTTATCTCTTCTTGTAATTTTTTTACCCTACAGTGTATTCAAAACGAGAAGTTATTTGCGCCGATTCTTATGTTGAACTGTCTTGTAAAGACTTATCTGCTGACATGGGACTTTTAATACTGGAAGCCATGCTTAATTATAACGTATCACTTGATCCAACATTAACCAATGAACAACAACTTCAGATTTGTGCGAAAACTGGAACAAATGGTAAGTCTGTTAAGTTATTATCCACTCAAAATTTGAGTTGATATTCAACACTAAAGTAAATGTATCTTCCGAATAAATATCAAAAGTGACATTTTGATAAAAGTTTGTCAGTGAAACAAGCTTAACATCTGCAGTGATCTTTTAAGAGAATCTAAATCCGTTGCAAAAAGACGTTGAATAACAAGACCAGATAAGATGTATGTGATTACAGGTCCTGAAATTTTAAGCAGTAGTCACCACCTAAAGGACATCGATAAAAAACCGCATTTCAAATCTTACTTTTGGAACTGTACTCGCTGAAGCTATAAATTGCGCATACACAAAACTTACGTAGTGAATGGCAACATAACGCGGAATGAAAATTCGTATCCTTGTATGCTACGAATCAACTCCCCACAAATTACTCTACTTAGTGGCATTTGAAAATATCACGAATTCATATAGCGAAGCATTTATATTGTTTCATTTTCTGTCTTATCATTTGTGTTGCAGCATAATAGTGAAGATGTAAAGTTAAACAATTGGTTAGTTAAATTAAATTTAACAAATGATAATTGATTGTGATAAATCATCGAAAAGAAACTAAATGCTGACCATTGAACCCAACGAGTTGTCTAAAAAATAAGTGAACTGTCTAATAATTTGACGTTCTTGGACTGTTGCATATCGTATTCGGACTGCAACAATTTCTTCTTATACTTTAAGTTTACACGCACATCCTAGGGACAATAAACCATAAATAAAACAACAGAGACGTTGATCTAAACTTTGAATACAGTACTATTATTTCCATATATAATGAAAAATGTTGCTCACACCTACAATTTATATGTGTTCTGCCTTATCCACTTAAAATGTCACCTTTTATGCTTTGATTTACGGATTCCAATCCTACTCTGGCCATTGAGTTTGATGCGCCTAGACAGTACCATCATTTCTCACGCATAGCTTATTGTCCATTGTCAAGTAAATGTAATTGTGCAATCATTTTAGTACATACTATAAATTACCTTAGAAATGATCAGAAGTAATACCTACACATTCATTCTCTAACTGATGAAAACTAAGGTCTAGTAAGGTGAATCAATAAAAAGGCAAATGGCTGTCTCACAAATTTTAATAATCATCAAGATCAAGAAACATCTGCGCATAAATATACATAAAGAATGGTTAGAATAGTGAAACCATTTACTTCACCTAGGCATCCTACATTTATCTTTTCGTACTTATGCTGATTCCATCCTATTTTAAACAGTTTTCAAGAGTTACTCGTTCGATACTTGTCCTTAACGCTTTATTTCTTCTCACACCATTACTAACAGAAGGTCATGAATCAGTGGCTTTATACAAGTTATTGTATAACTTTCACCGCAGTCAACATGCATTTAGGCTCTTGACCATTTATTCTAATCCTAGATTATATAAGCCAACCATTTTTCCATTTTATTTTGTAAGTGAAACAGTCGAATGAATAAAAGATAAATGTTCCCAAAGAATGAGAAAGTGCCTTCATGTTTATTGTGAACAACCGTATTGAAAATACACATAACTGACAAACATTTAGTATTAATGGGGTATACTAATGTATTTTGGTCAACGAATGGAATGGAAATTTATTGCCAGCCAGCAGAATTCAGTATATCTCAACAAAAAGTCTCTGAATTTTCGCATAAATCAAGGGGATTAAAATGAAAAATTACAGTCTGACATTTTACTACAACAAATTTCCTTATACACCGACAAGATATTCTGATAAACTCGACAAGTGAGAAATAATCATATCACGAAAGGTACATTCCTTCATAAGTTTAACGGGATTATTTAACTTTTCTTTGTTATAAAATTACACTGTTGAACTTCAGTTATTTGCAAAAAATATGCATTCCTTGCATCAGATTCGTAGTTTATAAATTAAGCAGTTCGAGGTGAAACATAGTTGACTCCTATCTGGCTAGCGAGCACCGCTGTTTGGTGCGACAGGTATCCAACTAGTCATATCAGTCAATCAGGACTACATAGTGTTCCTTGAATTTTATTGAGGGGAATTTATCAAAATAAAAACAGACTAGTGTTAATCATTTGCTGAGATGAAAAGTATAGGCTCATGGCTCTTTTATTTCACACTTTAGCGTTTTTCTGCAGCTTTGATATCCCTCAATGCACATAATATAGCAGGTGATTTAATTTGAATCAACAGCTCAAATTGAGAGTGTTACGTTTTATTTATTCAGAATACAAATAAAACTTTATGTATACCAAATAGCAACAGGCGATCCACACAATCCTCTGTTAACAGCATCATTTTGTCTTTATACAGAATTTACTGCCAAGATTACGCACAAAAAAGTGTGACTTTTTCCTCCAGGCTAACTTTATTTCATATCTCTCACGGGCCATATCACTTGGAGTTGTAGAGTCCTTATCTTTTGTACACTGCAGCTATATTAAAAATATGTTTAGTAGTCAGATGTTTCTTTATATCTACTGGATTTTTTGGCGTGGATTGCTGTCCTTTTAATTATTTGTTAGTTAATATGCTATTTCAACAATCCTATATTGAAAACCCGTACGAAACACACAAAATCTGTTCTTACTCGATTAGTCTGAGTATATGAAGTGATGATTTGAAATAAGTTGAACTACTCAGTGTTTAGATCATTGTAATCTGTCTGTCAAGTATTAATGGTTGATATGGGTTATAAGTAATTATCCGTATCAATTTCTAGTTTATAATTATGAAATGACCCTGTACAGTACTGAATTGTGACTTGAAGATCACAGTGCTGACTACTGAAAAATAAACAGATAAACTGGATAAGTGAGGTGCTCAGGGTCGCTAAGACGAGCCACCGCTACAAGCGTGGTTAAAATGCATTTTTATCAATATCAGTGTATCAGCCTACTTACTAATTAAAGAAAATGATTGCTATACCTTATTTAATATCCACAACCTTATAACATTCTCTCTTCACTATTCTAGTCTTTGTATTTTATATTTTCTTGACTTTAATATTCAACCGAACATCTCTCATTACAGCAGAAGGGCTGCAGAGCTGAATACATCTGAATATGTTACAAAAGGCATTCTACTCTTAGATGGTAGAATGCAAAGCGCGAATTAAGATATTTTTACCTGTAAAACTCAAGTCAAAATCGAAATACCCATATTAATTCGGCAGTCACTAGTGAAATGCACAATCCGTTTTAGGCATCACTTTCCTATCAAAATAAACTCAGCATTTCTTTGAATTGTCATTCCGCCTGACTTAGTATTACATCTGCATCAAAACATTTGTCACTGGAAATTATGAATGAACCGCTCTTGTCTACCTATTGCTTTTCCTATTTATTCTGTGTCTATTAGCATGAACTATGTTTAGATAGCATCTGGTCATCTCAGCCTTCTAAAGGTGAAGCTACAACCTACCACATTCTTTTTATTGTTTTTATTTACTTGTTTCTTCTGCACTCACATTTGTAATGCGATAAATAAATAAACAAAATGATTTTGATACGTTTTGAATGCCCCTCAACAAAATAAACTCCGTACTTTTCAGTGAATAAATAATCCAAATCAAATCTGCACACTGATGACCACCCAAAGATTTCTAAATTAATTTCTTAACAAATTTAAAAATGAAACAAAAAACAAACAACATTTATTTAGAAATGTCAAAAGTTCTTGTATTTGTGTACATTTATAAGTGAATTGATTTTTACAAACTTTTAAAATCAGCACTACAGGGAATACACAGAAATGCTTGTAATGATGACAATGCACTTATCATCGAACGATTTATTTTTTCCCTTCCACTGAGGATACAGTAAACAATAAAATGTGTTCCTCATTTTTGAAATGTCCACATTTTTGACAGTAGAAAATTAAAACTGGTTTCAAAATTATAGTTGCAGTGGAATCTTAAAAGTGATGCACAAAGAATCGTGATCGCCTTAGAAAATAACAAACTGAATAGACTAATTATTCAGTGGTTCATAGTCAGTGGTTGATGCGAATATATATATATATATATATTCAAGTTAGGAAATAACTGCCAAATGATCAACTAAACACCTTTGTCATTCAAACTACACCATAATCCATCGCTCAAAAAAATCTGTTTCCATTCTATTAAATAGAAATGCTGTGTTTCATATTAACCTTGTGTTTTCATGAATTTGCGGCTAAAAGACATATGGTAGCTCTGAGAAACCCTAGTTATTCAATGAAATGTATCTGACATTCGCAGTGCAGTCACTAAAGTGAACAACATGAAACGAAAGTGAATCGAATTTGACTGAGAACATCTAATAACATGAAGTTACGTGTCACTGAGTTTTGTGCATTAGATCAACAATTTCACGTTTTATTTCAAGCAGTGTCCTAATAATAATTCTAGTAATATCAAATCTTTATTTGGCTTTATTTAATAAAGCAGGTTTCTGATTTTTATGCATTACATCACAGAAAAATTGGACTACTTTTCTCAAAGTTGATGAGTAAATCTGAAGTAGACTGGAAATTGTGGAACATCGTCTTACTGCCTTTGGGTTCATACACTACCTAGGCTATGAATTTATTCAACTTACACAGGCAAAAACACACAGTTAGAAATCGTTTAGTGCACGAAATTAACTTTCGTCTAAACTTTTGAGTGATTTCCCTAGTTGCTAGAATTTGTTTCCTCAGAAACCTGAATTAAGACACTGCAAATTTTTTTCGGAAAAGTATTTCTTTATATAGGTGACTACCAGATACGAAATTCCAGGTGTTCAGAGTAAAGACTTTTTTTCTGAGGTAGCACATTTGTATCCCTCTATAATTTAGGACAAATGATAAGACATTTATTTGGTTTATAAGTGACAACTACTATTAAATACACTTGAGATCAAACATGCTGATGTGCAGTGACACCTAGTCTCTTAATTTAACAAAGAATGAATTTGATATCAAAGCGGGATTCATAAATCTTAGATAACCTGGTACTGAATTTAGAAAAATG